CCGTGGCCGGACGTGCGTCTGATTTTTGGACCGCAACGACGACGCGCGACGCACACCTATATATCGCCCACCCCAGCGATCCGTGTTTTATTATATTGATATTATTATAATGATATACCGTGAGATCATCACCACCGCACAGTTTGTTGGATAGAATATTGAATGTTATTCGGGCGACCAAAAGTTGTTTGAATAAACATGTTGACGGACCCCATACCCCAACGAAACAACAGTTGACACATGTCCAAACTACACAGACCCAGAGTGATACTCTTGCTTCTATTWAAAATATTATTTGTTTATACTCGATCTCGACGCTATATTAATAAAATGTCTATGGAATAATAATTATAAGATGAACGACCTAGTGAACATTTTTGTTTTTAAATACGAAATCTGGGGAAGATATTGTCAATATTTTCTAATCAGGTAAAATTCTTACATGTGATGAGAGAAAATGGTTTCAATATTGATTATGGACATTGTAATACGACAACTATTCAACTGATTGTGAACCAAAATCGAAAATAATAGARGAAAATTAAATAGCTTTTATATCGATTACATTTTAATTTTAAATATACCTACCTGTGATTTAAGTGTATATATAAATGTATACATTATATTACTTAATTTAAGAAGCCGTAATTTTATACTCAATAATAATATTGTGTAAATAAGGAAAAACAGTGTTTGTTGCGATATAAATACCATTCTATTCCACGTGGGCTGTTAAGAAATTTTCCTGATACAAGTCTCCACGCACCGAGTCCCAATAGCGTCACCGGACTGCTGTTGATATAATATTTCGGCTAAGGAAAGTTTGTTAATGAAAGCAATTTTATTTATCGAGTATGCCCACACGCCTTGTTATTTAAGGAGTTTAGTATAGGCAATATTAATGCCTGACAATTTTATTTTAAAAACCCAAATATACGTATACCTTAAWTTTAATTAATCATCATCAACTCTAATGATCGTAAACAAGTATGGMMAYTCGTTCGAGTTCTGATTTTTAAACAATGACGATTTAAAAACAAATATCTACTGAATTCTATTCATGCTGCAGCATTATTAAAAACAATAAATAAATAGATATCGTTTGTATATGAAATTATATTATAAGTAGCTAGTTTATACTAGATAATTTCAATCTGCGAGGAAAATTGAGGAATCACACAATAATCAAAGATATTATGTTTTTGTATTTAGTGCAGTAAAAAAATATTTAGTAGCAGCAAGCTGCGTTTTGCTACGTATTAAATTACATATTTTTTAAACATTACTATATATGTATATTGTTTTTGGGCTGGATAAAAGTTTTTTTTTAAATGACTTATTTTTTTGTAAAGTTTTCGTTTTCACGGTTATTATTAACAAAAACATATTTATGATTCACAAAGTTGTGTTGTACATGCTCGGTGAATCATCTAGCTCAGTGGTGACCTCCCCGCGGCCCGGGGGCCAAATGTGGCGCTCGAAGGTATTCTGTGTGGCCCGTTACAAATTTTTAAATCAAACAATATATTCTAAAAAAAGTAAAGTCATATTTATTTATTTTATAATAGTAATATAATATTACTATTATTTTATAATAGTTGATAATAATGAAATAAAATAAATACATAATATATTTGATGGCCCGCTTGAAGATAATTGCTTACCAAGGTGGTACGCTGAACAAAAAAGGTTGGGCATCACTGATCTAGTTGCTAGATTCTAGCATATATAATAGGTCGACCTTAATATTATTACGATATATTTATTCTGATGCATTGATACTTCTATAACATAAACATTAGACTATACACAATATTTATAGCGTCTTCGCTGTTGCACGAGTGTTAAAATAATAATAATATTTATATATACCTCATGAATATTATACGGTTACGGTGAAATAAATACAAACGCAATCCAAGTGTGCATAATAACATAATGTTAATAGTGATAATATTATATTGTATAACATATTGTATATTATACATATACTTAAGAACTTATTGCTGTTATTATATAATAATATTTTACTCATACACATTGTCTAATTTCGATGTGTGTATTAAATATAATATTGTATTATACGTACGATAAACTACAGCTATAACTATACAGCTTCCAAAAGCGTATGTTTTTACCGAGTACTATTAAACTATAAGGACTGAGAACTGAACAGTAAAAACATAATAAAATATTATTATTCCATTTTATGCTATAACAATAATATTAAAGTATCATATATGAGAACTACATGTGTCATAT